CCTACAGCTGCTAAATGCAACACTAATGCGCTCGAATGTGTTGTGATGACAATATCATTCACTTGCACTGTCATCGCTAATCAACAATTTCCGCAGACCGCCTGCAACACGAAAAATCACCACTACCGAAATATGACATTAAAACTGGATTATCAGGCAATGTCATCGTCCGCGAACCGTCAGGGATGGTACTCTTGTTGTTCCCAACCACAATCCAAGGCATGTCTATTTCGTCACATTATGTAGGTGTCAGGAACAGCAAATATTTACTGAATAACGGTAAAAGCGGAGTACGGGTGCACAAATGTGGTGTGCAAGCGTAAAACACGTCACGAAAATGACCTGGGATTGAATGGACTGCTTGCGTCAATCTGCTGATGCTGTACTAGAGTAGTTGCACATATGAGATGCTGTCATGTGAGACTCTCACAAATCTCTTTATTCTGAAAGTAATTGTCTCAAGATAATTAAACCAATAACAAAGGAGGAATCAATGTTGTGAAAGGCCGTGGTGTTACGTTTGCCCGTGAATAAGAAGAATCCCCTCAGACAGACAGTAACAGATCTCTTGTCTGACGCTATAACCGACCTACTCACGCCAATGCAAGACACGACCAGAGCCAGTGCTGCAAACTTTAATCGTCTTAACCAAGGTAGTGAACACTCATTTACGTTATAGTCTGTGAGTTGTCAGGAATGGTACCATTCATTACTGATCAATTGCATCAATCTGCCTGATCACCGTGATCAACGTAGAATTTCCGCTAACGTATTCTTCTCTTTTCATTTTACTAGACAGAAAATTAAAATACAAACCACTCTGTCAGTCAGGTGTCTGTTCTGCTATGTCGTCGTTTAGAAGATGGGTAAAAACCTGCCATAAGTGCAGCAAACGTTCAGTATTGTAATTGCTGGAGATAAAAATATCATCAATGTAGACAAAGACGATGTCGAGATTACGGAGAGCTTGATCCATGAATCTCTAGAAGGTCTGTGCTGCGTTGCGTAGACCGAAAGGCCTTCGTAGGAACTTGAATAGGCCAAATGGGGTAATGACGGCAGTTTTCGGGATGTCTTCGAAAGCCATAGGAATCTGATATTAAACCACAGACAAGATCAAGTTGTGAAAAGACTTTATCACCGCTTAGACGCAATGAATAATCGTGGATGTAAGCGATGGGGTACCGATCAGGGACTGTGACATTATTTAGGGCTCTGTAATCACCACAGGGTCTCCACTCTTCAGATTTTTCGGGTATCATGTATAATGGGGCCGCCCATGGACTGATAGAGGGGAGAATTATGCCAAGACGACACATATGTTCAAGCTCTGCTATGGCTGCTCCCATCTTATCAGAGCAAGTCGTCTGGCCTTGGCGGTCGTTGGCGGACTTTTGGTAACGATATGATGCATGAATTGGTTAGTAGGTTCGTAGGGAGCCTGAGACACTTTTACAATCTCGAAGAACTCCTTCCAAATTTATTGTATCTGTTAGAATCGGGGAATGACAGGAGGAGTCCAATCGAATTTATTTAAACAGAGATTCCTTGAACTACGAGTGCTGTATTTGAGTCCATAAGCAAGCCTTGAGCATATCAGCCAATAGACCAAAATAGGAAGGGAAGCTAGTCCCAAATACTGGGCGTTGAACATCAGCCACGGTAAAAATGATGGCAAATTGTCGCCTTAGGCCTTGACTAAGGTGAGTAACTTTTGGCGATACGTTGCAATATGCGGAACAGCTTGAAGTTGAAGGCCGGAGGTTTTAAGGTGACGTTTGTCAGGTCTTGGAGGAATTACGCTAACCTCGGCACCAGTGTTAATCAAAAATTGTAAACCGCTTTGTGAATCAGGGACGTAAAATAGGAGACTAGAATGTGCGCCTAAGCCAGTCGTCACCATTACTGGCCGGCCTTCTCGTTTCCCGAAGGCAAATTGGATGGCTTGAAGGCCTGAGTGCGACTACATGGGTATTTACAGGTTTGTGCCTTGTCACCATACTGTCAATGGTACCAGCTTAGGCCAGATAGTTTTCCGGATTGGCTGGAAGGCGATGTTGCGGATGTCTGAGGGAACTGCTTCGGTTACCTTTAGCAAATTCATCGAATTTCAGTGACAGCTTGTTTAGTCGTTCTTTTAATTTGTAGATGCTTAAGGAGTAGGTGTTGGCTGTGGCGCCAGAGAAGACATTCCCATGACCTGGTGCCTGGGAAAAACACTCGGGGATTTTATCAACACTCCCAGCGAATTTCTGCAGTGGTGTGTCAGAGGTCTGGATTGAAATCATACCATTGGTGTTTGCAGGGAGACATTTAACCCATAACTGGCGCAGAACAGAGTCATTGACCTTGTTATCCCCGGCAAGGTTGCGCATTTGCCGGAGGGGTTGCGAAGGAGACCTGTCACCAAGTTCGATACCAGAAAGGTGGTGTTAAAGACGGGCCTTGGTTGAGGTGGCCGTTCGAGCAAGAAGACCACTTTTTAACTTGCCATAGGGATTTACAGAGGGCATTGTTTCAATCATGTCAATAACCTTATGTGTGACTTCTATTGATAGCAACGACACAACGTTTTAGTATTTTGAAGACTGTGAAGTAACTTTTAACATGCGAAATTGAGCCTCAATGTGCATAAACTGTACTCGAGCTTTAGGAGCTGTAAGGAGGAAAGCTGACAAAAATGCTGTTTTTGATAGGAAATCGTATAGCAGTAGGATCAGACATTGTAGAAAGAGGTTTGTGAAAATAGTTCTACGAGAATCAGCGATCGACGGAGTCAAAAAATGATTTCGATTGTCGGGGTCACCAAATGTAGCGGCTAGAGATGTAACACTACCACACAACCCTCTAGTTAACAGCTCGTAATAACTCGAGAAGAGTGGAAAAGAGGCGACAGCGGACACGACTGTTTTATTAGCGTCGCGCCAGCCAAGTGCGTGGATGAGCAAACGGATGACAGGCCTTCGATACAGATGAGTCATTGTCACCGCCACGTCAGTAACCAGGGTTCACATAAGCCCAATCGCGGTTAAACCTCTGCGGTGTCATCCTACAAATTCAAAGTGGTTTTGCAACTTTCATACATCAAACAATTGATTAAGGCTGATCACGAACTGCGTCAATCCATTTGTTGATTATGACTTACTGAGGCTATGACGCAGCTCCAAACTGATGGGATTATGCAGTACCACTTTGTACATGACGACCTTCGGACTAAAGCTATGCGTTTGTTCAAAATTTTGTGACTTTCGTTAAGTACGACACTAAATACTGGCTCTAATTTTTACGAATTTCTGTGTGACATGGTTAAAGCCCTACACAAACTAGTTACCATTGTCTATTCTCCACAACATCCCACCGTCGAATGCTAAAATATCAGTGTTTCTATATCAATCGTCGTTCCCTTAAATCGGCCCACTGCCTATCAATATCGGCACTTAAATCAGACAAGCGGATCGATTTGTCATTTCTGATTCTGAAGAGATGGAATTGAGCCTAATTCAAATTGGCTTCTCTTTAAAGTCATCTGCCGCACACAAATGCGTCGTCAGTCGTTAATCATCGACGTGCGGCTACTTAATGCGCTCTTCAATGTCTGTGTTTGTGCAAACACAATTCTCAACGTTCGAGATCCTGTCAATGCCTTCGGCTCTTTCCTTTCTCTCAAACATGAGTCAAGTGCCTTTTTAGAAGTAAAGGCCACGTGCGTGTGCCAGCGTCTATGTCCACAATCAGAAAGAGTGTTTCTTTAATTTCAGGTAATCGTGACTACGAACACTCAGCAGCTTCCAAGCGTAAACTGTTTTTCCCGTTTGCGACTTCCGGAAGATTCCTTATTGATGGTGAATATATGCTGCAAAGTGAATACGATTTGGAAGTATAAATTAAACCTCTTATTATTTACAACTTGGTAATTTGAAGACAAATAATTTTTTTTTTGCAAGGCCCCTAGGATATGTTAATCAATCAACATATAAGTGATAACCTTGGTAAATGGATGGTGAAGTTAGTGAAGAATATTTACAACGCATTTATTTTAATCATTTAGTATTTTAAGTGTTTGCTTATTCGATATTAAAATTATTTAAGAAACACACATACTTCTGAAGGTCTCAAAATCACATGCGAAAATTCAGAACGTAGGCACAAGTTCCTCAATTTACGCGATTTGGTTTATTGACAGCTTTTAGGAACATTCCACTAAATTCTTTGTTACATTTAACCAGCTCTTACGCTCAAACTTAAAGAATAAACTGCTTAGTTTGCGCTATTTTACGATTGTAAGACAACACAGAACGAAAGACACTAATAAATATTCGAGAAAAAGTGCTTAAATTGAAATTAACAATGTAATGTACTAAATTTAAAAGTTTTGTTGGATTTTTAGCGAAGTTTTTTGCATATACCTAACATAAGGCAAATTTAGTAATTTCTGAGGTTTGAAATCTGCATAATTGACAATGCTGCCTGAAAACATTACTTAACTAAATGCAGGTAGCGGTTTATTAAGCGGGACGAGAACTCTTTTCAGGGCTAGGAAAATTGGCATTGACTCTTCAATGCATCCATATTGTGATATTTTATTTTCACCTGTATCATTTCCTGGAACGCTATTTTGTTACAAATTCCACGATGGTAGGCATTTTTGTACAGTTGTACAAAAATGATTGCGCTTTAAAGTGTTTGAATTATCTGCAATAAATTAAAGTTACTTTTCAGACCAAGAAACTGCTAATCAATTCAAATTAAAAACCTTGGGTCTTGTTTATATTTTTCGCGGTTGATGCCAAAGGTCAAGCGACAATTTATAAAAGCGCCAGGTGTTGTTTTTTGATACTTATTATCAAGGTACACACCACTGTAATTCTTATTGTGTAACCATAACCTAAGAAGTCTTTAACATGTAAATAAGTACCTTAAGGTGCTTTGGCATTATAAAGCTGCTTGCAGCTCTTTTTTACTGCGAGATCCCAAAATGGTTTTAGGAGTTAGGTCTCGTCATGACAGAAAAAGGGAAACCTCGAATGCAACAGAAAAAAGATGCGGAGAAGACGTCTGAAAAAACCGACAAGAGCAACGACAAATCTGCCCTACATAGTGCATCCAGTTCCTCAGAGGAATCTAGCTCTTCGGATGAATCCAGCTCTACGGACGACTCCTGTTCTTCCGATGAATCTGGCTCTTCCAACAAATCTAGCTCATCTGAGGAGTCTAGCACCGATGATGACTCCAGTTCTGAAGATGACTCTAGTTCTGAAGATGACTCAAGCTCCGATGATGACTCCAATTCCGATGACGACTCCAGCTCCGATGAAGACTCCTGCTCCGATAGCTCAAGTTCATCCGATTAGTCCAATGGTCAATGAGAAAATGCATATTGAAGCATAGTAAATATTAATATCATATACTAGATGCATTATTCGGTCTTTTCTCATGTATCTGTGATCCTGCCTTATTATATTGCTATTTGTTAATTTTCTAAAGTTTACATAAAAACATCCTATTGGATAAAATGATATTTACGTGTTTTGCGCCACCAAAAGACCGGCATTGTCTTGATTTTGGTACTAAAGCTTGCATGTTTCCTTTTTTCTTCTTTCCTCAAAATTATTGTAAGAACTTATTGTGCAACTTATAGTCGTCACGCGTAAACCACGGTTGTGTTGCTTATAGTCTGATCATTCATCGGTCTCTTTTGCCAAAATCATGCAAATGCTTTACTTTCATTAAATTACTTCAAACATTTGCACAACAGTGGCGTTCTACTATTTTGCAACACCAAAAGTGAAACGCTTTACTTTGTATTGAACATTTATTGTCGAATCCAGATTACCTAATCGCCTGCGCTAAAAATATTACTACTTAACCCCTAAGTTTTAACAGTAGTTGACTTACAGATTTTTATAAGTTAAATTCAATACAAATAGTCCGATTTGTCTAGTGAGGTGTATATAATACCAGGTGTATGTTTAAATCCAGATCTTCAAATATGCGGCGATTCAAGGCAGAAATTATTTTTTACACGCGTGCCAAAAAGTAGGGCTTAGCAGGAAAGTGGTATCACGCAGTGACCAAATGGCAGTCGCATTGCAGCATCCAACCTCCATTAATGTAGAACCTTCCAGGATTCACAAAATGGCCAAACTTTACAACTAATGTGCTGAAAACGCACACAATTTACGCACTAGATTATCTGCATCGGAACCGTAGCAAGTGTGAATGAACGGAAGATGCTAAGCATACGTAGTCAAGATTTTGTAAAAGTAACGAAAGGTTACTTCGGGCTGTAGACATAGACGCTGGCACACGCACGTGACCTGTACTTCTAAAAAGGCACTTGACTCATGTTTGAGAGAAAGGAAAGAGCCGAAGGCATTGACAGGATCTCGAACGTTGAGAATTGTGTTTGCACAAACACAGACATTGAAGAGCGCATTGAGTAGCCACATGTCGATGATTAACGACTGACGATACACTTATGTGTGGCAGATGACTGTAAAGAGAAGCCAATTTGAATTAGGCTCAATTCCATCTCTTCAGAATCAGAAATGACAAATCGATCCGCTTGTCTGATTT